GACCCCAGCCGCCGGGTGCGCTACTTCGACCCCCTCCGCAACGAATACTTCTTTGACCGGAACCGGCCTAGCTTCGATGCCATCCTCTACTACTACCAGTCTGGAGGGCGGCTCCGCCGGCCAGTCCATGTGCCCCTGGACATCTTCCTGGAGGAGATCCGCTTCTACCAGCTGGGCCAGGAGGCCATCGAGACCTTCCGGGAGGACGAGGGCTTCATCCAAGAGGAGGAGAAGCCTCTGCCGCAGCATCACTTCCAGCGCCAGGTCTGGCTTCTCTTTGAGTACCCTGAGAGCTCGGGGCCAGCCCGGGCCATTGCCATCGTCTCTGTGCTGGTGATCCTCATTTCCATTGTCATCTTCTGCCTGGAGACCCTGCCTGAGTTTCGCCAGGAACCCAAGGGAACCCAGCCTGGCTTTGGGGAGGCAGCGCTGCCAGGCGGTGATGCGCTGATCCTGCCACCACTGCCGCCACCAAGTGGGACCCCGCCACCCCTGCACCCTGCTGCTGGTGCCGGCCCCTTCTTCACCGACCCCTTCTTCCTCATTGAGACCCTGTGCATCATTTGGTTCTCCTTTGAGCTCCTTGTCCGCTTCTTTGCCTGCCCCAGCAAGCCTGAGTTCTCCCGCAACATCATGAACATCATCGACATTGTGGCCATCATCCCCTACTTCATCACCCTGGGTACTGAGCTGGCCCAACAGCAGCAGCAGAAGCAGCAGCCTGGAAGCAGCAGCAACGGGGGCCAGCAACAAGCCATGTCCTTGGCCATCCTCAGGGTCATCCGCCTGGTCAGGGTCTTCAGGATCTTCAAGCTCTCCAGGCACTCCAAGGGGCTGCAGATCTTGGGGAAGACTCTCCAGGCCAGCATGAGGGAGCTGGGCCTCCTCATTTTCTTCCTCTTCATTGGGGTCATCCTCTTCTCCAGCGCTGTCTACTTTGCAGAGACTGATGACCCTGACTCCCTGTTCACCAGCATCCCTGATGCTTTTTGGTGGGCGGTGGTGTCCATGACCACTGTGGGCTATGGAGATATGTATCCCATGACAATTGGTGGCAAGATCGTGGGTTCCTTGTGTGCCATTGCCGGCGTGCTCACTATTGCCCTACCTGTCCCTGTCATCGTGTCCAACTTCAACTACTTCTACCACCGAGAGACTGATCATGAAGAGCAGTGCCAGTACACCCATGTCACCTGTGGTCAGCAGCAGTCCCCCTTCTCTGAGCCCAGGAAGGGGGATAGTAATCAGTCTCTCAGCAAATCTGAATTCCTGGAAGCAGAAGACCTGGAGTCCATGAAATATTCCAACTTCATTCCTCCCAACAACCAGGGTTATAAAGAGAAGAAAATGCTGACAGAGGTGTGATTAGTTTTGTTTTCTGGGGTCCAGACACAGAGCGGCAAGCTGCTGCACAGCCGTCTTCCCACTAGCAGCTGGATCTATTCAGCATTTACATGCCAGACTGTGAATTGTGATACCGTAAACAGAATGATTGTGATAACGGGCTCTCCTGTCCTGATTTGCTGTTTCTTATTACCTTGTGCAATCGGAAATGTTCTTGCTTTATTCTGTGGAGCGCTAGCTGTCATCTCCCACTTCCTCATGGATTTCTCTTTTTCTGAAGACTGCTTTAATCAAATATTAACTCCGAAGGCTAGACTTTCTAGTCCACTGGCAAAGAAGAAGCCCTTGACACAACTTCAGCTGAAGGATTAGGCACAGAATAAACAGTTAAAAGGGCTACAAGCATCTGGCTCAAGCTCTGACCTTAGTTCCTGTGCCAGTGCAGTGCCCTTGGCTGCAGGATCAGTCACGCCTGTCATGCCATTGCCTTTGAATAATGGAAACGCTGTAGCCAGCCTCACAGTGAATTCTGCAGCTATAGGGGAAAGTCAGCAAAGGCCTTCTTCCTTTGCAACCCTTGGCATGCTAAAAATCATGTGAGTTTGTTTTGAAAAAGGTGCATAGATCTAAAATTTCTTAGCTACTTGTGATCAGATTTCAAAAGCAGGCTTAAAAAAAATCAACAGACTTCATGATGATTCTCTGTGTTTTAAGCTTATTTCAGCCTTATTTATGCCAGAGCCCTGAAGTTAATTGGCTTTTATAATACCAACTTAATCTTCATAGTGGTAAGTGGCTTCTGATGCAAGACACATTTGAGAAAAATCATTTGTTATCGCCATAGTTTATCTCCACACAATAGTGTTTAATGTGATGTACTTAATGCTTCAAGTATCCAGTTCTGTATTCAGATGTGTGAGAGCAATTGACTCCACTGGGTTTTTACTGGAAGGTTTATATAGCTGAGGGAAGTTTGCATGTTGGTGTAATTCTGTTGCTGAAACACCTCAACTGTAGACAGCTGCACCTGCGCTAACTGAAGATTGCACTGGGGTAACTGGCTGCAGGCATAAATTGCCCCAGGATAAGCACGTAAGCATTAGAGATATACATCAGCACTGAACAAACTTTCCAAAGCCATCTGCACAAGCCTAACAGCATATCCCAGATCTTTCAAATGAGAGGAGAAAAGAGCTAACCTTGATGAGATGCTTTTGTTTGATCTAGCCAGTTCTGTATATTTCTTAAACAAAAGGCACAACAATGTCTTTTGCATACAGTAGATCTTTATGGGAACAACTTATGCTAGCAATGCAAAATGCATACCCTGGTCTGAAGTGTGGGGCTTGTCAAGCGGCCAGAGATATGCATCTTAAGATGCATATTCTGCTTCCCAGATCATTCCATTCTTTAATCAGCTTTGCCTTATTCCTGAATGTAAGATGTCTCAGATTCTGCCAGTGGGTGAGAAGGGGAAACAGATGCTTTCAGATTCCATTGATAAATTTTACTGCAAGGAAATGCCTTTTTTTGTTCTTTATCTAAATGTATTTTCTGCATTCACATACGTGCATGTGTATAAAAGCAAAGGCAGCCATTAATGCCTTGCATCGTACTATATATGTGTATTAGATTGTATTACATATTGCATGTGACACATGTAATACATAAAATAGACACAATGTCAAGATGCAAAATATATAGAATATGTTTTATGTATATGTATATGTTATGCCTTTCAACCATACGGCTAAGAATACTAAAGGCATGTCATTTCATATAGTCAGAACTGGCAGGGTTATGAGATGAGATCTCTTTGCATCTTTGTTACCCTGCTTGTTTTTTGTTGCTTTGAGATCTGGCTCTAAGCCTTGAGTGCTTTTACTGTGGCTCTCCTCATCTGGGCCCTGATCATATGGTAGAAGTTGTTTGTGCAGATCCTAACTGCTGCATTTCTCCAGAGTCCCATTGTCTTCTCAAAGGCTTTTGGATGCACGGGGATTTCCCTTGGGGTCAGTGCAAAACCATTATTTTGAAACCTTTATTTTCTGTCTCGCTGAAGTCAGTAGCAAAATCCCATTTGTCTTAGTTACTGGAGGACAGTCTGGGAGACCCACAAGTGGGATGTGGTGAGGGCTCTGAACTGGCAGGAGTTTACCTGAATAAAGACCAGCAGAATGTAACTTCCAGGGCCATCTCCGCAGAGGTACATAAGGGCCCAATTCCTCTTTGGTTCATTGGGACTGAGGCAAATGTCTGGGAGAGTCCGAACCTCAGGATTCATTCTGCAGCCCTTAAAGCATGTAACCAACCTCTGGGTAAGTAATCCTAGTAAATCAGTGGGTCTCAGGAAGGATCTGCAAAGTGGGATGTCTGGTGATTTTGTGTAAAAAGTTGTCTTGGTCTCTCAGTTAATTTGATAAAAAGCTATTGCTTTTAGATGTGTTTCAGGTTCACGGTAACAAAATCTTTTTATGTGCAAGAGAGTGAATTTTCTTCAAATTTTATGTGGTTGTAGCAAAAGAACCTGCTGTTTAAGATATTCTCTTCCTAGAGGTATGTCAAGACTCCTGCTATCTCCTAGCAGAATGCCCATGTTTGGGTTATTTTATTCTTGAGCATATCAGCTGATAAAAGTTTCCCTAAAGTAAGATATAAAAAACTCAGGTTAAGCACAAGTTCAGGAGGGGGCATGAGGCACACTGAACCTACGTCAGAAAATTCCTGTGCTTGTTTTTTCCCTTGGGCCTGACCCCATTACCCCTGCCAGGCAGAATCCTTCCTTTCTAAGAAAAGGTTGTTCTCCTGACCAGCATGACAAACGACGAAAGATGTGAGATAACTTATTGGTAGCATAATCACAGCATCTCTTGTAAAGATGCTCTTGTAAAGAGATCTCCTGCTCTCAGGTGAATTCAGCAGTAGGATTCTAGCTGGAGTGTTTGTGGCTTTTAAGAGTCTCTACACATACACATGCACACACACAATACTGGTGTGAAGGAACTTTATTACAAACAGGCAGATTTGTGCAGTTTTTTCAATCCACATTTTTCAGCACTGAATTGAGAATGTGTAAAACAGGAGTAAAAGTTTGTTCCTTGGGGTTTCTGTGTTAGAGCTAAGAGAAATACAAAAAGCAAACAGAAGCTTAGAAATGCTAACCTTCCATTTAGACATGTAAATCCCTCTCTAAACATTTCCTGAAAAGCAGGAGAGTGAAGTCCCATGGTCTTCAATAATACTGGAGACTACTGCAGTTCTGGAATTTGGCATTTTTATTGGGGAGACTTCAGTTTTTTTTTTTTTAATGGCTGAGGTGATCTAGGAGCACACGTCATTGACTTTACATAGGAATGGTGTCCTCAAATCACACAGGTGCTTTCAAAAATCTCACCTCACATTATCAGCTCTTAGCACTCACTTCTGGATGTTTGAAATACAGAACTGTCTATCTGTCAAGCTATTTCCTCCTTAAGGCAGATCAAGTCTTTGTGAAGCAAAGTAGGCATCTCTTGGGACTTGTTTCCATAACAACCTCCCAGACTGTTTCTCTGTACCTTGTGACTTTGGCTACAAGCAAAAGCACTCACTGAATATTTCCAGTTCTCAGATACGAGTAGTCCGTAGCTGTTTTCTTTGCTTACTGAAGAAGATCCCATCACCTTGTATCACGTACAACTGCCCTGTCCAGCTCAAGACTGACAGACTATTACCAGCATTGGAAAACAGACATGCAAACCAGGAGATGGGAAAGGATTTTATCTGCATGTCCTTGCACAGAGACAGGTGGGGAGTGTGTGAAGGACTTCTGAGCACTCACAGTCAAGGAGCTGAGGGGACAACAGGCCTCTGAATTTGGAGTCATCTGGGTGCCCAGTGACCACGAACATGAGCTAAAGCATCTCATTTAAAAAAAACCAAAAAACAGAAACTCTTTTTTCAACAATCTCATTAGGAAATAAAGTCTTGCTGTGGAAGAGTTGTTTCCTGAACCCCTTGCTGTTGTTTTGTGACCATCAGTTCCCCAGATTGTTTCCCTGCAGAATGTTATGCACCAAATTAGGACAGGGCAGAAATCTTCTTGCAGGAGGTGGGGAAGGAAGGAAAGGAAGAATTTTATTGAGGATGACTTTTTTTATCCACAGCTCATCACCCACATAAAGGACTGTAAGTGTGAAAAGCATGAAGAATTGTTTTGTGATCTTTTGAAGTCTACATTACTGATGGGTCCCTGCACTTACCTCCAAGATGGAATTTCTAGTCTGTTACTGTTTGGAAAATGTTGACATTTGGGATTCTTGAGCAATATGCTGTTTGGCTCTGCTCCTTTTGCTCCAGCTTCCATGAATAAAGTTTCATTGCTATATCAGCTGTGGAGGTGAAGGTGACTGGACTTAATGTTCTCTGCAAGGACCATCCATTCAGTGTATGAATACCCCTATGGAGATAAAGAAGAGTGAGTATAAAGGAAATTCAGGGCAGCAAGAGGCATGATAAGAATTTAAGTGTCTTCCATACTGTGGTGGAAAGAGCAACGTCATCCCTAAAAGCAAAGGAACAGACAGCTCCAGCATCTGCTGCTGTAGCAGAAGTAGGTAAGGTTTCTTTTTCATCTGTAAAACTTAACAACTAAGGGTTTCTTGCAGTTAATGAAAAAGGATTTCCTAATTAAGATTTGCAGCCTGGAGGAAGAGTCTAGTTCTAGGTGAAGAAGGAGAGAAAGATAATTATAAATTACAAAACTGCAGTATGGGCCAGATCCTCCCCATCTGCTGATATAAATTGCCAGAACTCCATTTAGTAAAACTACCTTGGTAATATATTGGGCTCCAACTTCAGTCTTCTGCATCAAGTCAAAACACATGCTGTTTGTTAAAATGCTTATTTTTGTTTATTCTTCTCTTCAGGTCCTGTTAACATCAGGGAAACATCTGCAGATTACAGCAAGAGTTAACCACAGCTTTCCCAAAAGCTCTCATCTGAGATGAGTCCAAGTAAGTCTGCTGAATGGAGTTAGGTTTCTCTTTAGGTTTATATTGGCAAGAATAAGAGCATCAGCGTCTTTATTTATGCAATGCTGGAAATAGGCAGAGCAATTCATAGAGAAGACTAAAGAGGCTTTATAGAGAAGACTAAATGAGATTCTGCCCTCAGTTGCAGCTATGTAAATACAGAAATGTCTCTTTACATTGCTATAACAGAGATCACAGTCTGAGCTCTTCATCTTTGCTCTGTGGAGCTTATACTCCAGAGAAACCTTGTTCTGAAGATATTTGTATCCTTACTCACCAGCAGGCAGATAGTAGAATACCTGACTTACAGTCATCTGCTATATACATAAAGTTAAGAAGGGAAGCAGGTGTTTGCAGGCTGTAAAGACTTAATCCTCTGATAAAATGAGCAATTGCCAGTGAATGCTGTGTATCCTTAGCTGCTACAAGACAGCAGTTGGTGATGAAATTGCCTACTAATTGCAAGAAGGAGCTCAGTGATGTGAAGGATCAGCTCCCACATAAGACAAGACCCTGGTCAGAGAGAGCAAATCAGGAAAATGTTGATGAGGGAAAGCAGACAGGAACTGCAGTAACACTGATTTGCAGGGTAGCTTATATTGTTAGTATGCGTGTCAGTGATGTACACCTTGCTTAGCTGGCTGAGTTTTCACTTTTTCCAGGGAAGCCTGTCTGGGGCTCGTTATCTGGCACGAGGGCTTGAATACTATAGGGTAGTTTTAAACTTTGGGAAACATGTAACCAGGATCAGGTGGGTTTTGCATTCCTAAAGCAGAAGCAATAATTGATAAACATTCATTACAGGAAATTTCCATGTTCTCTCTCATGCAGATTTAAAGCGGTTGAAGCAATAGATTGAACTTTCCAGTGTACACCTTTTTCTTGCTGAAAGAAAGGAAAGGATTTGCAGGAGGAAAATTTTGGGGAAAGTGTTTACTCATCGATTTCCACAGTCACCCTAAATACTGTTGCTGTTTTACCTACTCATTAGAAGACAAGACTCATGGAAATCCTTTGTCTTAGCACAAAGTATCACTGAAAGCTGAGCAATTTCTTCTTTGCCTTTCCTTGCACTAAATGAATATAAAGCTATTTTACTCAGTGGTATAAAGTTTTGGAGGACCATTAGTCAAAAAGTTCTATAAATCACAAAGTACTGAACTTGTATAATAGCCATTGTAGGTTTAAAGAAAACTAGGGTCCGGATACTGACCTCTGCCTAAGGTTAGACAGATGTATCCTCAAGCATATGAAAGATGTTGTTTCTAGTTTAAGTAATGGTGAAAGAAGAATCAGGTCCAAAGTCACTGTAGATTTACCTATACTTTCTGTAGATGTGAGGAGGGCTGTAAATGCAGCTATCTAGAATAGATCTCTTGAGGTGGTGTGAATCTGTACAGGTCCACTCACTTAAAAAGTTGTATGCCATTTTACACCAACAAAAGATTTAGCTTTTAGAGTAGAGATTGGTTTATTCCCTTACGTTCTCTAGAGAGAACTGAAAGGGCATTTTACAAGAAAACTGGAACATTACTGTCTCCTCTTGCTGCTTGTTGATGCATCTGTTGTTTTCAATTAGCTTGATGGCATCCATTTTCAGGAAGCAGATGCTGCCCTCCTTTACACTGGTGTAATTCTGGAATAACTCTACTGACGTCAGTGAAGTGACTCCAAATTTATCCCTGGTGAAAGCAGAAGTGGATCACAATCTTTTTGTGTGCTTATCTGGTACCGTGCTCTGAGGAAGGCACACCATCACTATACCATAAAGGGAAAGTGAGTACCTATCAGCTGTGCCATGCTTGGCTGTCTTGTGCCCTTGACATCACAGACATGGACCTGACTGGAGCAGAATTCAGGCTGAGTGAGGTGCACAGGGTCACCAGGCTCTTTTCTGTTGTAGAATGGAGCAGATGCCAGGCCTAGATTCTCGGCCTGTTTCCTATTCTAATTTCCACAAACTTTCTCTTGCTTTAATATGATTTCCAAGGAGAAGAAGGTTTCTAAGCTAAGGAAATATGATTGGAAGTCTTGAAATAATATAACAGAAGGGTAGCAGAGATAGACATGGAGACGAACTCTACCTCACCTACACTTTTTGCTGTTGTTGTCATCTATGAAGATTTTTGCAGTCCTAAAGGTTGATTATAGATCTCTTGGGTCTAGAATCTCCATTTTCAGGGAATACCAAGATTGAGCATACTGGTCAGCTTCTTTCCTGTTCTAACTCTGCTGATTTAAATGATGTCTTTCCTGAAACTAGACAAAAAGCTTCACATAAAAGCCATTAGAATGCTATGTGGAAAAATACCAGTTGAGATGAGGCAGATAAACATTGATAGAAGAACTATAGAGTCATATTGAATATTACAGGGTAGTTTAAAACTTTGGGAAGTGCCTAATCATGATTGGTGTGGGTTTTGCATTCCTAAAGCACAAACATTCATTCATATGGAGTCAATAAGGAGCAGAAGAAAGGAAAATAGCAGTAAGTGCTCTTGAAATAAGCAGTGTGAGACTGGAGAGAGTTCTTAAGGGAATTTCGTAAGGATTAATTCTGGGATTGTTTAAAATATTAATAGTATGGCTGAGCTTACAAAATTTATCAGTGATTCAGCCCGAACATCATCATCAAGGCTATGAATTAGGACACTGAACTAGGTGAGTTTGAATACTGGACTTAAAGAAAAGGAATTATCATTCCTTAAACAGTTAAAAAAGGTTAAAGCTGTCATAGGAATTTTGGTGGTAAGCTGCAAGCTTATTGGTAGGGGAAGACAGACAACAAGAAAGACTGGTGGAACTAAGATCAGCCAGAGTGCAAGTGTCACATCCTGAGTCACCGAAGTCATACAGCTATCAGAGTTGCAGATGTAGTCCTTGAAGGTCTCAGAAGGAGCACTTTCAGTCTCCGTGTGACTGAGGGAAGAGAAAGAGGTCCTAAAAGTGGGGTAGGATCAGGTAGGGGGTACTAGATCAATCTCGCAGTTAGTGTAGAGGCAGACATAGAACCCATGCCTTAAATGCTTCTCATCTATTGCCCTCTAAAAACCACCAGTCTCTATCTACTGCTTTTCCCCTCAACCTGGAACCTCTGCTGTCCTTTCCCAGGACCTGCCCCTTCTCTACCAAGACCCCTCCAGCTCTCCGTTGATCTCTCTCTAAAAGCTGACTTACCTCTTTTTTGGGGGCTTCTACTAGTCCCTCAGCTCCCTGACGTCACTGGAATAATGAATTTTGCGTGTTTTTGAGAAAAGCCTTGAGCCAGCTCTGCTGCAACTCAACCAGGATTTCTGGTTTGGATGCAGTGGTGAATAACCTTCAACAACATTCTGTGAACTGAAGGTCAGAGCAGGTGATAATGATAGTCACACTGGCCTGAAGAGGTTAGGAGAATAGGCACTGTTCTGGCAGAGAGAGAATAAAGCTGTGGCTCCATCCGTTTCCTTTCTCCCGTCTTTAAGTTCATTTCAACCTGTGGGCAAGTGACTAAGTATCCCTTTGAGCTCAGAGCTAGAACAAAGTTTGACCAAGGTGGGAGCTTCTTCATCCATCCAACCAGCTGTGTGTGCCATGGAGGCACCAAGAAGAGTCCAGTCCTTACATTTCACCTTCTAGCTTATTGCTGCTCGTTGTTCACTTCTGTGATGAAGCCATCATCTTGTGATTTGTTTCTATGTTTTGGCCTGCATATTTTGTTTTTAAACTTTGAGGTAGAGCCTCATTTTTTCCCCCTTAGATAAAAAAGAGAGATCAAAAGAAAGACTTACCAATAACCCTGCACATTATGAAAGCAGAAGAATATGAACACCCTCTGAACTGGATTAATGACATTAGCATGATGGTGCGCACAAATCCAGATGTGCATATGTTGTCTTAAGGTCTTATCCCAAGTGTTTTCTAAAATAGGCATCATTTCTTTAGCCAGAACAGTAAGCAAACTTAAAAAGGAATTATTGTGTAACTTCTATAGAGGCAGCCAAAAAAGTGCTTTTTGTACCATGAGCAGGGTATTTCTGTTTCTGCACTCACCTCACTTTGACATTGATGGAAACAGACACTATCATTAAATATTTATGTACTTCTTAATTTACTGTTATTGCACTGCAGATGCATAGGAGGCCCAGTCTTGAGGAGAGCAGCATATTGATGGTCAAGGTCCTACTGCAGTCAGCACTATACATACAGAGAGCAAAAAGCAAACAGCTTCTATGGTTAAGGTTGTACGCAACTTTTTGGAGCTCAGGTAACTTTCCAATGGTGAGGGAGCATTGTTATGTTCCAGTTTTACAGTAGGGATGGCATGAGGTTTGAAGAGCTATCGAGAGTGGTAGAAAAGCAGAAGTCAAAAAGAGCAAAACCTGTGACTTCTGGTTTGGTGCTTTGGAAGAAATCTTCATCTCCTTGACCCTTGCAACCATGTCTTCTAGCAAGTAGGTGTTGATTTTGCAAGGGAGTACAGATAAAGAGCGCAGGGGCAAATCCTGCAGAGATATGATCTTGATTCATGAGGATATGTAGGAGGCATGGGCGATGCATTTATGGCAATTCTTTATGCCAGTCTGATTTGTTTATGCATCCTGGTAAATAGTATTTACCCATATTGTTTTTTGGCATGCTCTGAACTTGAGATCAGTGGCTTCCTTATTTGCCCTTTCTGTTCTAAATGTTCCTCAGTCAAGAGCTGTATTCTTATTAACAGGCCTATATTTTTAAGGGTAGTGCTGCCATTCAACAGCAAGGCATTCCATGCAAAAGCTCCCCTGTCAGTGACAGAAGGATAGACCTGATCAGCATTTAAATCCCACTTCATTGTCAGCACATAAAATGGAAAGGTACAGGGTAGGTATTTATCTACCAGACCCTTTTCGGATATGGTTATTAGATGGCCAAAGCTAGAACGTCTACTTTATCAGTCATCTTTTTCTTTAGCTAAATCTCACAAATGTTTCTGAAGATATGAATTATGCTGCAATTGTAATGTATCAGAGATAGTACTGTCAGGTACATTCCTCCTAATAGGGTAGAATATAGGTTTTCATACCACAAAACTATTGATTTTTGTAGTCTGCCCTTGGAGATGGCACAGTGACTTTCAGAAGTACTGTGGAGGGTATTCACTACTGCTCAGCCATTACTCTGTTATCTGATCATCTGTTAGAGTTTTCCACAGTGGACTGCAAACTTTTCTGTGGGACATATTTCCATCAAAGGATGTGTCTTCTTCAAAATCAGCAATGTCTACAGGAGCAGCTTAGTTTTGGTTCATTTTGATATTCTTTTTAGAACTAATATTTGGTAAAGTCTGTAATGCATATCATGGTTTTTGTAATGTTTTGATTTTTTTATTTTTTGAAAATGATTTTTAAGGAAATATGTGCAAAACAATGTAAAATACAAAAATTTTTAATTTATGACTTTTTACTCTGACCTATAATGAAAGATATAATGAGTTTTTGTTTGCTGGGCTTTTTCTGAGATTGTCCTTGATTTAGGACAGGTGTTTTTTTTTTTTTTTTTAATTTTTTTCCAAGCAGATTTACTGGCAGCCATTGGAGCAGTGTGGCTCCAGTGTCAGCTCCAGTACTTCTTTCCATTCAATTAGATGATATTTGAATGCTCCAAACCAAATGAAATGACAGGCCAAATGACATATATACTGGAACATGTATTCAGAGTGACAAAAAGGATGTTCCAGTGCTTTAACTGTTGTTGAGGCAAGCCAACTGTGCTTTTCTGCAACTGTAAAAAAAGCACAGGTAAAAAAGTTGTTTAATGTTTTTGCAGCACAGTGTGACTTAGTGGAACATATCATTCTTATGAATTCCAAACTCTACCTGCTTTCACTCGGAAGGTAAGCTTTTAGAATCCCTTTAGGCAGACATTATGCCATATAAAAACCAAACAAAAATAACAAAACAAAAAAACCCCAAACAAATAAAAAAAACCCAGGAAAAACAGAATACAATCCTAGTAATTTTTTTGGCTGCAGTGGGAGAAAGAAGGACAGTAGGATAAGGTGCTATCTGCAGGGTACTTCAGCTTGCCTCGTTATTTACCTTGTAAGTTTTTTCTTTGGTTCTTTAGAAAAAAATCTGGACAGGTTTCTGCAGTCCCAGTAACACTGAGATAAGTGGATTTTAGAGACGATGAGTAGTGAGCTCTTCTTTGCATAGTAACCATTAATCAACATTTCCATAGAAGATGGCTGAATACATACTGATCAACCCAGCTGCAGCTGTGATGTAGATGTGGTGGATTTTGGAGACTGATGCAGCTTTTCTCTCTGTTCTGCTTCCCCCAGTCATATTCCTTAAGCAGCAGAAAATTACCCACACACCTCTGTCCCTGGCATTTTAGTATAAGGTTTAGTGTAAGATTTTTCATTAAGGTAAGGGACCACTTAAGAAAGAAAGTCTTGTAGTTAAATACTTCACTTTGAGCCATGGGTACAGTTCCCGGCTCTATCACATGACCTTTGTAAGTCCCACATTTTTCAGTGTCTCAGCTATAAAATGGGACAATACTATCCTGTTTAGTTGCATCTTTTCCCTAAACCATTTAAACAGTAAGATCCTTTTGAGTAAGCCCCAGACAGCTGTTACTTATACCTCTATAATGTAAGACACAGTTGAGGACCCCTACTCCCTAAGGTACTGTGTATATTACTGTCTTAACAATAATAATTAACATATGGACAGCGAAGATCAAACAAACACAGAGAAACATTTGGTCCTGTGCATGAGACCTGTGGAGCATCCAAATGCTAACCAGTC